ATGATCAAGATTTTTCTCGGGTACTAAAAACGTCAAAAGGAAACAGTCGGACCGTTGCATGTGGAATTCCAAGAAGGACAGGCACAATGCGGCTACAGCAACGGCAAAGGAGCTGCAGGACCTTTCTCCAGGGCACATCGTTGTTGGGAATCCCCAATAGGGGGGGGTCGTATTTGGCCGCCAGGAGAGGGGGTCGTATTTGGGCTGGGAAAATTTATTTTGATAGTTGATTTTTCTCGCTTCACGGACGTTGTAAAGGGGGGGTCGTACTTGGTCATTGTTGGGAGGGGGGGGGTCGTACCAACCCCAAAAAAGGGGGGGGGTCGTACAGACTCGACTAAAATCCCCAACCAGTGATGTGCCCTGATGACAATATCGTGAAGTTCACTCTGATGAAGGTGCGTAGTCTCTACTAGGCGGATCTTCCCCATACAGCGCGCGCAAGGGTTCTTGTATTGCCCATTGTACTACCACCTCTTTCGGTCTTTGGCTCTTTGGCTTATCATCCTAAAGGACGCCGTTTTGTAGATTAATATAACCTCACGAGGGACCTTCATTCTTTGGTATCAAGCACCCAGGCTTCTGCCAGGGAGGGAATCCACAACTCATTTGGACCTTGCCAGCATGTACCCCACCTGGGTACCGATGGAGGTACGCCACTGGTCATTGGTAGGACTAATCACAAGAGATTAAAGAGCTGGGAAACTGAATATCGAGAAGTGTCTCAGTATTACTGGGAAACCTAATATGTAAAATTTCTCGGGAATTTCTAATAATCATTATTGCAGAGTTCCGGATTGCGAAGCAGATCAAGCACAACACCTGCCTATGTCAATGCCGGTGCGTCCCTGAAAAGATGGATCTGTTCGGTTCTCAGCCAACTGCCGTTGATTCTTCGAGAGAATCTCTAGAAGTCGACGACAGTGCAGCGAAAGACCGGCAAAAGTTGAGGACATCGATGATTCAGGAGCTGGTCACAGCTACTACAAAGCCAGTCAGCAGCACCGTAAGCAGCACTCCGAAGTCGAGTAAAACAGGCCCAGTAGAGTCAACGACCCCATCAGCAACATCAATTACGACTGCTGAGCCCAGAAAGGAGACATCAGAAGTTGAGTTCGATTCCAAGACGTCGGCAGCCGCTGTAGAACCTACACCGCTAAAAAGCACATCCGCGACGCCGGTCGACATCCATGTTGGCTACTTCTGCTTCTGAAATACGAAATGTGACTGCTCCTACCACGCCAGCTGCGAGCGACCCTTCAACAACTGCTGCTGAAGTGTTAGATTCAATAGATGCAAAAGCCTTTGTCACTAAGGAAGATATTGCTCCACCAGCTACAAGTACGATGTCATCTCCCTCTGTCCAGTTTACTCCAAGCGCGAATACTGAGACTACTACTGAGCTGGACACACTTGAGACGACTTTACTACAGCACACAACCGAGTTTATCGAGTTGTCTACGACAACTAGCCGGAGCACATCGGATGAGGTAGATACGACACCATTAACAAGTGCAGAAGCCTCAGCCACTACCACCACTGAATCAGGCGTTACTGGTGGAACAACAACTTCCATAGAGGAGACGACTTCAGAAGCGAAACCAGACCACCCTATAACAACTCAGACTAGTGAAAGCTTCACACCTACTAAAGCTAGTACCGAAGCCTACACATCGGAGGAGTAGATACGACCCATTAACAAAGTGCGAAGAAGCCGCAGCCATTAGCATACCTGAACAAACCTTACTAGTGGAACAACACCTTCTATAGAGGGTGCGACTTCAGAAGTGAAATCAGACCATGCTGCAACAAGTCAGACTAGTGAAAGCTCTACACCTACTGAAGCTAGTACCGATGCCACTACCACATCGGAGGAGGTAGATACGACGCCATTAACAAGTGCGGAAGCCTCAGCCATTAGCACTACTGAACCGAGCCTTACTAGTGGAACAACACCTTCTACAGAAGCTAGTACCACTACCACGGAAGATGCACAAATCGCTTCCTCCACAACACCCATGCTCACCACGATCTCTTCACCCGAAGTTCCGACCACCACCACTGTTCTAGTCACAGAAACTGCCTCGACAACACCAGTCTCCATGACAACTACTACAACTTCACCAGCTCCCATAAGAACTACTACCACTTCACCATCGTCAACTACAACTGCTACCACTACCCTAACAACAACAACAACCCACCTCCCCTTCTACGGCTACAACAACCTTACCTACAGCGTCTTCGACCACTTCAGACGATAGTCCAACAACCACTACACCAGCTATCTCTTCAACTACCTTGTTTTCAACTGCCTCACTGGAAACCACGACCGTAGCCTCTACTTCGGCACCAGAGAGTGCTACGGGGAGCACGAAATCGATCTCTGAATCCACTTCAGAAACCAGCAATGAACCTTCAGCCGTTTCAAAGTCCATCGAGCCAGCTGTTACGTCGTCAACAGTTCTCCCGGAAACCTCAACCGAACAGAGCGCATCATCAGCTGCGGAAGCCTCTCCGTCGACCAAGGGAGCCAAAACAGGTACATCTGAATCTATGAGCCAATTCCTAAGTTTTTTAATGTTTGTTATTCTACTCTCTGAACATGCTAATCCTACCGTACTTACATTAAGTTCTATCTTATGTGATTGTTTAGGTGTGTCAGCAAGTGAGGATGGACCCAGTCTCAAAGTAGAAGATCGAGATGAAGCATCCGACTCCACGTCGAACAGGACAACCCCGGAGACGCTAATTGAGAAAGTGGAATTCATACAGTCACGTAAAGATTTACCAGAAAGATGGAAAGGGCTTATTCAACGGCTGAAGAAAAAACTGGAAGCGTTAAAAGCTCAGAAAGAACGCTTGAAGTCACTTTCTACGAGCACAACGCCTTCATCTTCGCACGATGAAGAAATAGTGTCCATTGAAAGGACCACAGTCACCAATTCTTCACCTCATATCCTTGAATTCGAGTCTATCTCTACCACGACAGAAAGAACCAAATCGGTCACAGACGAAAGTGCATTTGTAACAGCCTCGCTTGGAAGTACTTCTACTCTCAGTTCGGAATCAACAACCACACAACCTGAGAAAGCTACAATCGCAACTACTACGACCACTGAAGAAAGAAAAGGTGGCAGAGGTCACGGATGAGCTTCCAATCACCACAACTGAGTCGACATCGTCAGAGCACATAGGCGGAGTTTTAGACTCCTCCGCTATTGGTGTGAGCACGGACGCTACAAGCGAGAGCGACGATCGCAGTACATCTGTAGAGGTGACAGAGATCATAACAACATTATCTCCTGCAGCAACGAGCAGCACAGCTAAGGACGATGAGTCGTCTTTCGTAACTAGCGGAAAGGATGTGGAAGGAGAGTTCAACGATGATGACTCGCCTACAACTGTTACTGCCCAAGACTCAGCTGCTTCCACTGAGAAAGGTGACGGTGCTGAAGATCGTCAGGCGACGACTAGTGAAGAAGTGTCTACGGAAGTCACAGAGGTAGCTGAGCCTGAAAGCACCACCGTAGCTTTTAGCCGCGATCAAGCAGATGAAGTTACAAAGGACAGCGAACAGGAACAACGGTCTACTGCGCCGGAAGTGACTTTCACCACAACGCAGCCATCTACTGCAATATCCAAAGAAACTACTACAGCGTCAGAGAGCACAGTGCGTAGTACTCCAAAAGATATAACTACAATGACGCCCAGTTCCACGCTAAGCTCACCTTCTTCCACACAAACCAGCAGTACTAAGGAGAAACCCACAGAAAGCAGCCCAACATCTGTTCCCGATGCTACTACTGAGACAGGGGTGACATCTGAAACAGCTCCAGACCGTATACCCGAAAACGCACAGAAAGTGGGTAGTTTTCTAATTCTAAATCCGGCAGCAATATCTTCCTCAGAAGAATCAAGCGACAGACAGAAGTCATCCGGCTCATCGAAATCAGTAGAGGGTGAGTCTGATGGAAGTTCAGGATTGACATTTCTATCAACAGGCGCTCCTTTCAGAAACAACATTTTCTCCATTGCCTGCAACTACTTCTTCTGGCTCCCTTGCTTTCACAATGTAAGTATCTAGAAGAATCAATTTCAATAAAAAAAGAATGGAAGAATGTTATCGGAAAACTCTTTTAAGTGGAGAGTCTCCTTCGCAAACCAATCTATTCTCTTCTGTCATAAAAAGCTTCGTCGCAAAAACATCGCAGGAAACCCCAACGACAAGGAGTATTGAAACCACGTAAGTGCATTTGTATGACACATTGATTAGTAAATCAAGTAAAAATGAAACAAAGCAACCCCAACAAAGAGATCCGGCCATTCGCCTAGAACTGTTACCACAAACATTGTGCGTGAAAATTCCGTCTTCGTACTCAGTAATGGAAAGACTCTCAACCGTGACCTGACCATACGCTAGAGGAGAGGGGACCTTTTCGTGCCGGTGCTTGTGGCACACTCCACATGTATTTCCATGTAGAACGAGTGGGATCTGTATTCTGAAGTTAAAGCTAAATGGCGCGATGAATTGACAGGGGGTACAGGGTCAGAATGTCGTGCTCCTTCCTCAGCAGGCGCTGCCTGGCACCTTTCCCAACCAAGAGCGCCTTCATAGCGCCTGACGAAGGTGCATCCTGCCCATCGCAGCCACCTGCCTACAAATGGCCGTACAGTCACATCGACGCTGGTACTCTTATCGCTTCATTTATGAAGTACAATTGATATGAAGCGTTGCTACATGGATATATGAACACATACGTGCAGCCGTATCTACCGAAGCGGTTGATGGCACGATGCCAATGAGAATTCCTTCCTGAATGCTTTCCGTATACTCGTCCAATGCTGTGCAGAACAAAGGTTTCTGCGCAGGTTTCTGGTCATTTGCATTCGCTTTTTCGTCATTTTTCCCCACTATATAGCACCCCTGCTACACTTTTTGAGCAAGTACCAAATTATCTTGCGTTTAAATTAGCCCTGCGAAATTGACGGCTTTGCTTTGCCACCGTCGGGCGTTACTCTGCAATTTTATAAAGGCGCTTCCATGCGCCAATGCGTAAAACAGTGTGCGGGAGAAACTTCTTTACCCCGCTCGCAGGAGGTTCCGCAAATCCTGAGAAAAGATTTGAGTTCAACGCCCCAAGACGCGTGCGCATACTTACGCATACCATTGCAAATGGCCGGATCGACCGGTTGAAGTTCCCTTAGAAACATCAGGACCATTCATGCTGAAAATCGCTCAATAATGTGCAAGCAGTGCAGGAGTAGGGTTCCTACGCTGATGCTCGGTATTGGATATGCCGCGTTTTCCGCTTCCCTCCGTGATTGTTGAAACGGATGACCGTGTTTTAATCACCCTGACATTATGTACGGGACAAGTAGAAAACGGTTCCTGAAGGCAGAATTCTCATTAAATTGCATGAAAATTGAATTCTCATAGCATAAGGGTCTAGAAGCTGCTTGTCCTTCTCGTTGGTGGGCTACATTGGCAAAGGAGTGGCGCACCAGTGAAGGAAGAACAGTAGTCCAAGTGACTCGTTCATACGCTAGACGTGGTATGTGTGCCTTCACTTGGGCAAAACACTGCTGGACTAATTACCGTAGCCTAACTCGGGATAATTATTCGCTAAAATGAAATTCGTATGGTGTGCACTACTCGAGATGGCAACTAGTCTTCCATGAATTGTGAACTTTTGTGCTTTCATTTTAGAACTGAGGAACAGTTGTCGATGCAGAAGACCGACGATTTCGAGAAACGGATAAGGGAAGAACGAATCCGTTTTGAGCAGGTGAACATTGATTTTGCCGTTTCTTAAGGCCAATTTGTATGGATATTAGTTAGTCAGGACTAATCTCTCATTAAGCTTCGTTGACGGATTCCTTATGGCTTCTTACGGGAATACGTATGGTTCGTGTTCGGGTATCACTAGTAATGCGTCGCGGCTAGCGCAGTGGGGGTTTTAAACGAGGGTAATTCACACCGGGGCCAGATCTATTCAACGTGCCAGGGCTTCCAAGTCAACTAGCTACTGTTAGTTTTCTCGCAGTGGGTCAACTAAGAAGTAACGAAATACACCCTTCACTGTAGAGAAGACAGACAAGACAAGCGCAAGTTGTTGCCCGTAGTCCCCGGCGCACAATGCGCAGATTCTCGGTGGGCATCAGTTTGTCGATTGGAGCAGCTGAACTAATTTTCTTTCCCTTTCCCTTCAGGTTGAAACTGCCGAGTAGGACAACTCGTCTTCCGCCTACGCGGCGTCGCATGTCACGCTCAGTGCGGTATATCACACTTGTCTTGTCACCAGGCAGCTCCTACCGCTAGGGATAATTTTCTAGGACATACGATCCCCTAACTCCCATCTCCTCTGACACGATTCTCCCTTCCCCATACTACCGACCAATTTCTCAGATTTTCCCAGACTCCACCACTTTTTCCATTTTTTCCTGAATTTCCCGAAAATTCCCTAGTTTTCTCCGAGATTTTGCTGTCGAGCGGGAGCGGAGTTAAATAGCACATGTGAAACGGGAAAAACCGCGAAAAGTCACCAAGCGGGAGAATTTTTTTCCAACGCCACAAGTTTTCTCAGAGGCAACTACGACTTCTCCACCCCCTCCCCCGTCCGTCCGCTGGGGATTGAAATCATTTTGGGTGCTATTTGATTTTGGTGCGACATAAGGTGCGACGTGGTCTGCTTGTCGCATAACCGCCGTGTGTACCGTATTCTCATATGTTCTCATATGGGTTACCGTCATTTACTTACCCGTTCTCCAATATTTTGAAAGAGGATCCTTCACACTTATTAGGAGCGCAGGTCCGCCACCGCTTAATGTGCTTTCACTCCTTTAAAACCAAACCTTTTCCATTTTTCCCCAAGAACCAGAAAGAGTGGCGTCGAGCTAGTGAGTCGTCACCAATAGTTTCTCAATTACTGGTGTCAATGAATAGTAATGGTTTAGTACTTTTGTTACGGCACCAGTTTGAGAGATTGGTGGGGGGGGTGATTAGAGGGCATGGCGCAGATGAAGATGAAACTTCAAAATCGGGAACAAGATTATACCAAATACAATCCTCGTACTTAGCGAACAAGTACGACCCCTGAGGGGATTCTCCCAGTGATGCTGCATAGTGGCCGAAAACTGGACTCTGGCGTTTCGCCTAGTAATTCAGCTCTTCTTCGCTGGTAAATCAAATAGCACCCAAAATGATTTCAGTTTCAAAGGGACTATTCGCTCGTTTTTGGGTGCCCTTGTAGTACACAGTGGAGTTAGGAATTGTTCTCAGTATTACGCAATGCTCTTACATTGGAAATCACGTGATTGCAAATTGCACAGTATTCCTTTTACCGGTGAAATTAAGGCCAGGCATCTTCGTGAACAACAGCAACGACTAGAACAACAACAGGGAACAGAAACTGATCGAGTCTTGCGAGAAGAGCTCAAGAGGAGAAGTGAAGAAATGCAGAGACAATTAGAAGAGCAAAAAGCTACCGAATTGAGGCATCAACGATTGTTTGAAGAACAGCAACGACTTGAGGAGGTTTGCATATGCAGTAATGAGCAAGATAATATTATAAGTTTAGGAAGTAAGGGTGCATACAGTACCCAAAATTGCGCGTGAAATTAAATGTGTCGAGCCCTGGATGCACACAATAGGGGACCACATGGCGGACCACAGCCTCATCAAGTGCAGTATGGTATCCTGTTCGCGCGTGGGATCACCTGCTGGAGCCAAGCGTGTTGCAGCCTCACTCCGGAGCTCCTCCCTCCATACGAGTGCGAGCGAAAGAGATGAACCGCACATCAATCAGCTCGTGCAAAAGGCCAATAACAAAGGCTACTTAACGTTATCAAACTTGGAAATGAGCCGGGTTACTGTACGCGCTTCACGGCGCGGCATCAGGGCGGGCCATATTTGTCTCAACGCAGTAAATTTCGGGGTACTGTATGCACGCTGGATTCTGAAAATCTTTCTGAAAGTTATTATCTTGTATAAACTGGCACCCCTGAGCGCAAGGTTTCCAGGAGCGTCTGCGAAAGATCGCCGAAGAAAAGCAGCCGCGAGCGGTCTTGCAGAATTTGACGGCTCCACAATTGCTATCTGCATCACGAGACCACAACAAAACCAACCTCGTACAGGTTAAGCGCCATCACAGGTTTTAGGGAACCAATATGTGTAGTAGATTTTTTTTTGTAGTACCACTCAGTACTATTAATTCTCAGTCATTATTGGTATTTAGTGTGCTGCAATTAACAAGTTCACTCGTGTATTCCACATAACTAATCCATCATCATGGATTGCCAAAAATTGCCAATTTGCAAAAAGGTGAGTCGTTTTTGATTTCCGAGTGGTTCAACTGGGATATAAAAGGGTCGTGGCTGAGTATTTCATTTGAACATGGCATATTTTGGGAATAATTCGATCTGAGACAACTGTCATTTTTTTGTGGTGCCTAAAGGCATATGTACAGTTTCTGTCGCTGCACACATAGGGGCGTATGAGGGGGATGGATTCGGGCAGCCTTGGCCCGTTTTCCACCAATAGTTGTCGCTTGCCTGCTCTAGCAACCGGTGAAGACCAGAGCTCTTCGTCGTGTCCAAAGCCATCCAGCAAGCCTACCCCGATCGCTCCTCGTGGTCTGCCTGAAAATGATACCCAGCAAAAGCGGTCGCCACTTCAAACAAGGTGCACGGCCACGCCCTTTTCATATTTCGGTTATGACCTATAGGTATGTCAATTAACGATGTTTTAGGTACTTCCCACAAGCTTCTTGTCCGCAGATTCAATCATTAATTGAATCATGTTTTGTAATGATAGTTTAACGTACTTTACCGACTCTACGAACGACTCAGTCTCATACAAATCAGGAATTTATTTATTCTCTTTAAGCTTTTTTTTGTTGCACAGCTCATTGATCTGTTAATATAATACCGCTGCATTCCTCAATGTCTACGTGTGATCTATCAAATATTATCATTTTACTCGGTGCCTTGTACTTCATTTACATGTACTTGTTATTATAATATAAATTACTGCAGTTAAATTGCGAAATAGCCTGATATAAATGGAAAAAAAACTTTGTCAAGATATGCGCAATAAAAGTTCGAAACCTTGTTTAACATAAATCTCAGTGGCCAGTGAGACCGTCCATGAGATCTACTGTAACATAAATCAGCAGAAGAGCACCAGACAGGCTATAGCGTCTATCTGTGGGTCTGATTGTGACTGTGCCGGAAACTCGGCATCACCTGAAGAAGAGCAGTTCGAAGAACGGCTTAAAGGAGCGGTGCGCGATGACCTATGAAAATGCAAGAGGTTACGTGGGAAGGTAGTGCGGTCCGAAGTGAGCAACCCTGCGCCAGTTTCGCGGCGGAAAGTTGTACATTAAAGGGATTAATGCGCGCAAGTTGCTTCAGTAGTACATCCCTTTTTCCAGTGACTCCGCCTCCAGACTCCGCCTCCAAAGTCGGCCTTCCAGCCAAAAGTAATGCTCCCGGGCAAGTATCATGGAGTGGATGCATTCAATGTCTCTTGTAGAGTCATAGGGTTCATTACTGGGAATCAGCCGACGGGAATTGTCCCAGCGCGCGGTCTTTTACCTCTACAGTTGTTTGAGGCTAGAGGAGGCCTGACGAATGCGTTTCCAACGTTCCCTTTGGCATTTTCTCTTCATAGATGGTTCACTTGGCGAATTTTCTTCCACATTTCTGCAAAATCACCTAGGCTTTTTATCGCGGACCGTGCCTTTAATAGTGGGTAGGGCATGAGTCAAGGTGTAAGGGACACACATGAACTGTTGAGCCCCGCCCACTTTTGGAGGAGAGCGCGCTTTAACCGAGAGCCGCTTATTTCGCAAATTCGTAACTCGATTTCAGATGAGTCCGGAGAGCGGAAAAAATGAGGTAGACACACCCCCATTGGACTGAGCGTACCGTAAATGAGCGGCGCTCGCTACAGAAATGGAAAAAAATTTGTGACTTGGTTTCGAATGAGCCTAGAGAGCGAGGAAAGGGGGAAACACTATGATCCTACTATATCACGTGAAGAGTCAGTTCAAGTGGAGGGAGTCAAGGGTAATTTGGAAAGGGCATAGACCAAGCTGGAAAGAAGACACATGAGCTGACCTAAGTTCTGCCCTCTTTGGGAGGAGCATGCGCTTAGCCAGGAGCTACTTATTTCCCAAAATTCGTAACTCTGTACCATATAAGCCCGGACAGCGGGGAAAGAGGGAAACAGTATGAAATGGGTACGTGCATGAAATGGGGGCCCTCCACCCTTACTGGAGAATGGACGGCGCACTCCGGAAACCTCAAAAATAAACATACTAAAGCGCCCCCAATATTGTTAGTTACTGGGCTACAAAATTGTACAAAACCACAAATGAGATTAGCATCAACAACATCAAAGTATGAGCAAGTACCAATGATATCCTGATTTTCAAGTTGAGCTCGCCAGTCGTTGGAAAATCTATAAATTCTGCAAAAAAAAAACAACAACAACAACAAAACGTCACAACAGCGATTAATTCCGAAGGCGGATCGCCGCATGTAACTCAGCAAACTACGTGTTCCAGTGCAGGTTGGACAGATATGAATGGAAGTTGACGTCTCACAACGCGGATGTCGACTTCGAATAATGCTGGTGGCAGTTAATCCTACGACAGTAATGAATATGCTCCTTTGCTTGAAAAAAAAAGCTAAATTTAACAACAAGTACCGCACGAAGTTCACTGGGGCTCATGGATTCGGAAATATCTTAGCTGTCGGGAGGACCCTGTTGAGGACACCTTCTCTCTCTATTTTATTGCTCAGTAGTCACTCAGCTGCCATCGACGCTTTTGTTTCTGGACCCCGTTGTTTACGAATTGCAGAGTGGGTTCTGAGTTGTTTTTTTCACATAGTTTGGGTAGGGCTTTTCAAACTGAACCACTACTACTGCCAGCAGGACACATCCTCGGTTGGGGGTCTTGGTCGAGTCGGTACGACCCCCCTCCCCTGAAGGTGGTGTGAAGCGACCTCCCCCCCCCGCTCCTAGCTCCCTTTTCATCGAGCTTCGAAGGGGTGGGAGGGAAGGCAGTGCATATGAAACAGGAAATACCACGAAAAATCAACAACCCCTATCAGGAGGCCGCAAGGCAAATACGACACCCCCTTCCCTCCCTTACGGCGTCCCCGAAAGAAGGAAAACCAACCATCAAAGAAGTTTTCTCACGTTAAATAAGACCGCCCTCCCCCAGCAACTAAATACGACCCCCTCCCTCCAGTTGGGGTATCCCAAAGATGATTCCCTGACTGCCAGTATCAAGAATATCTGACCAAAGGGCTAGCACAACATTTAAGAAAGAAAAGCAGTCGAGAGGACCGAGGACCGGGAAATCTCGAAGAATAGCCTAATATCGTGAGAAAATCTCACCTGCGAAAAAGGCAATTGACACCAAGGCCGCGAATGAACACTTTCTTAACAATCGGCCTTACACTCGACTTGGGTTGGGGACGAGTTTCCTGTAAGTAGAAGACCGTTTTTGAAACAACTCGAGGCAAACTCAACTAGCCTTCATAGTTTCTGACTCCCCCGAGATTTGGACAGAGGATATTGCGAGATTGAGTTCTATTTGGGTCTCTAATAATGCGAAAAATTCTTCAGTTTTTTGGTGCTATTTCAGAGCCTACGAAAAGGTTTAAAATCCCATTAATAATGAATGGAATCTGATGAAAACTAGGTCGTATAAGGTTAAACTTAAGTGATGACTGACAGATGTCAGACAAAAAACCTTAGAAAAACGATTATGTTCGTTGCAGCACACGAAGCTGGATGGTGTTATAGATCTGCGGTGTTGACGTACAACCCAAGAGAGCGCCATCATTTCTATAGTTTGAGATCCGCCGGGTGGCAAAGGTGCTCACGCAAACATGCCAGTTCTTTCCTGTTTTTATTCTCGCACAGTGAGTGAGATTCTCTTCTTACGACAAATTAGAAAAACCGGCGAAACGAAATGCTTAAGTTACATGAACTTAAGTGTGCTTGTTAGCATGACAAACCCAGCTATCTATATCAATTCACAAAGAGTCACTTGAGTCCATACCTTCATGAACAAGAATTGCCTGGGATCGGCACTTTAATCGCTTCTCAATTGATGAATGGGAAAATCGGTAGAATTCCAGTGTATTCTCTCGGGGATATTCTATTGCTATGACTGCCGGATAGTTTGCTGGTGTGTAGCACAGGTTCAGGTGCTTTCCTATCGGACATTTGACCCCCTCCCATGTAGTGAGTACTTTCAGTAGTATCTGTTAATGAGATTGGACCAACTCTTTTTACCTGGAAGATACGGCGCAAAAAGGTGTCAAAACTTCAAGCAACACTGAGCGGTTCTACCTCCATTCCCACATAATTCTACTGAAACCTTCCCAAAGCTAGTCAATAAATGATACAAGGGCCGCACTCTTCCCAAATAATCGTTACATTCCAAGAATTGACCACCCCCTTCCCCGCCACCCCCTCCCCCCCCTCCCAATCGGACTGGAGAACTGGAGATTTCAAGGCAGTTGGCACGATAGGTCGATAAGACGAGTAGTATTAATGCGCTTAGCAGGACGGGATTCCACGCCCCTGAGCAGACGCTGCGTAGTGCCTCTTCCGAGGGAGCTGCCCTTATGGGGCTCTATCAGACTGCACCTTTCGTCTATTTGTGGACGCCCCCAGCGCCCACAAATGGACGAAAGTACCTGATGCTCATATTGCTTCCTTTCTGAGCAAAATTTCAAGCGAAGGGATTGGCATGAAACGGAAGCGTTCATTCGCGGCCTTGGTGTCATATGCTGCATGGATAATACTCATGCGGAAGCCGTCTTCATCATAGCTGTTGCTGGCACCATGCCAGCTGCAAACTCGTCCAAAACGGTTTACTGAGTCGTGTAGAAAAAAGGCTTCCTTACAAGTTTTCGATCGTTTCACTTCGTTTTCGCTATTTTCCCCACTATATAGCACCTGCTATACATATATGCATAGAATTTTAGGCCGAGTGCCAAATTATATGATTTTAACAGCGCAGCCATTGTCTTAGGTATCACCTGAGGTAACTGGAGACGCAGCCGTGGGACTTCTGAGGAACGATGCCAAGAAATAAAAGGAAAGTAAACGCTTCATAGATGACTAGGGTGGCCGTGGTCATGGCTATCCGCTGGTGTAAGTTTCAAATAATCTGGACGATTTCCATAGGAGTTTTGGTAAAGCAAGGGCTTGCGAAGGGAAAACTCGTCACATAGCTTCGACCAAAAATCAGGAACGGGATTCTACGTATTACTGTTACTTGTTTGAGTATGAAGGCAGCAAAAATATCTAGAAATATCCCTAGTTGACTCACTTGCTCGTAGTGATAGTGGCAATCGTACATAGGTGTGTGTTAATGAATGGCTATTCATATTTGGAATAACACCTACACGAGAATTCTCCACAACTCACTCTCTTTACTGGTGCTCTTTTCAATAATTCTTATGCAGCACAATCTTAGCAAAAATGCTGTCTTTTTTTCTTTCAAAAATTTTATATGTTTGCAATAAAACTTAAAATAGAGTCAGTTTTCTCCGACTATGTCCATTACTGATAGATAAATCTGGTTCTCTTCAAAAAAAGCGAATAATGATCAGTACAAATATAATCTTTGAAACTGAGATTAATGAACTATGTTGTAAAATCTAATAAATGAGAATTATTGAGGGGGTCGAAAGCAAAGAGATAGCTCAGCTTCCGTTTCGCACGTGCCCTTAGACGGAAGCCGAGCAAAAGCATATTCCTCCTTCCGTGCTCTTCAGTAAGGAAAGGA